TCTGAGAATAGTTCCTGGTTAAGGGGTGAAACAGAAGTGTATAGTTAGTGTAATGTATTCAATCCCGACCGCGTGTGAGGCTAGGTCTCCACACGGTCATGCGAAGCGTCCAAGCTTCGCTTCCTAAGACAATGGGTCAAGTGGATCCTAGCCCACTCCTATCAAAGGGCTAGGCTCCCGCCACTGTAAATAGCCTATACTGGTGTGGGGGTGTGTTTGGGGTGTGGGTTTTTATATACTTTTTAACATTTGATGTTTAATTTTTTAAAAGTTCATATAATTTCTTAAATAGAACAGCAGAAACTCATTAGGACTGGCTACATTCGGGGTGTGTGGCCTAACATGCAAAGAAGTTCCTGCTACAGAAAAAGGCCCTGGATCTTGACCACAAACAAGGTCAACAGAATAAGAAGCAAAAGGTGGGTGTGGCTGGATGAGCACACTTCTGGTAACATGGGGGTGCGGCCTAATGTGCTAATGAGCTGTGCTGTCAGGGGTGTGGCCTAATATGCTAATGAGTTTCTGCTGTTGGGTGTGGCCTATTATGCTAATGAGTTCCTGCTGGGCTTTTTCTACAAAAAGAGCCCTGGCTGGAAATATAAGCTGGCCTGTGAGCCGGGAACTTTGTCTTGATCTTTCCTGAAATAAAGTATGAGAGCTGAAATCACTAGTAAGTCTCAGTACTTTTCGGTTAGTTAAACCTGTCTGTCTAACTAAGTTGTGTTCTGCAGTGTGTTACTGGTAAGTGTTGGAGTGTCTCAATCCAAAGTGTCTATCTGCCCAGCTAATAATAACATGTGGTTGTAGCAGAGAGATCTGAACTCATGCCCACGAAGAAACTCGAGCCTCAGTCCAGAGAGTCTAATTGCCTGACACAGTGATGACTCAGGGGTGCCCGGGGCTTCAGGGGAGCAGCTCAGGAGCTGACTGCAGGGTGGTGAGGGTTCCCCGCACGGCCCACCCTGGCACTGGTCCCGGGGCAGCTGCCCCAAACGCTGCCGTTTAGTCTGCTTGCAGTTTTTTATCCCAGACCTAGAGCCCCCCTCCCACAGGCTCCCCCAGTTCCTCAACCAGTAGAAAGGCTTTAACAGGAGCAGGGGAAAGTGATATTACAAAGTCAGGTTCTCCTTGTAAAAACTGAAGAATAGAAGACCGTAGTAGTCTTTTGCTATCTGCATGTTCACAGCTGTAAAAAGCTAAGCACTGAAGCAGAAAGACACTGGCAGTGCACTCCTTAATGGAGTTCGACCCTTCTAAGCCCATCGAAGTCAACGTCCTGAGAAGGGTTCCGTGCTGCTAAGGACTGCCCTGCCACATGAGGGGAGGGGCCCTTTCTAGACTCTTTCTTGCCTGCTTGTTGTAAAAACGAGATGGCTTGGCTGACCAAATTAACATTACTGGCAGCTTTCCAAAACAAACAAACAAACACCTTCCCTAGATTCGGGTGGGGAGCCCCGTTGGCCTGAAACAATACATAGAACAAAGTTTGAGTCCAGTGGCACCTTCAAGACCAACAACATTTAATTCTGGGCATAAGCTATCACAGGGGTCATTTCCTGCAGGAGCGCACAGGAGCAGAGCTCCGGCAATAAAGAGCCCAGGGGGCAGGCACATGCAACAAGCCCCGCCCCCTGCTCCCAGCAGCCCTCAGTCAGCGCAAGAAGTAGCCAGGTAAGTTGCAGAGCCCCCCCCCCCCCCAGCCACCTGGTCCAAAACACTCCAGTGGCACCTTTAAGACCAAGTTTTATTCAGGTACAAGCTCTCCCTCCTCCGCGAGGACAGATCTGCACGTCCCCCCCCCAATAGCTAGCAATCGAAAACAGTCCAGTGGAGCCTGAGCGGTGGGTATTGCCTTCCGACACACTTCCGGTGATGTCAGGGGGTGTGGCATATGCTAATGAGTGATGCTAATGAATTATGCTAATGAGCTCCTCCACCTCTTTTTCTATGAAATGACCCCTGAGCTATTGTATGCATGCAACAAAGTTTAATTCTGGGTGCGTGCACACGAGAGCTTGTACCCAGAATTAAACATTGTTGATCTTAAAGGTGCCACTGGACTCATAACTTCCCTAGGGTTTTTTTGTTCATTTTTAGAATTGATTATGTGGCAGACGTGTTTGCTGTAGCATGGATTCCCACTCCCCAGTCTTGTATAGGCCGCTGTATACTTTTATTGTCTCTAGTTTATTGTATTTTTACTGCTGTTGAGAGTTTTATTGGGATCTGATTATCTTTTAGTGTCAGTTATTATCATTTTATTACTACCAATATGAGGGGTTCTTTATGTGATTTTTTACATTTTAATTGTGCACTATTGCCTGTTTTTATGACAAAAAGCCTAGAGTGAAGATTCTCTCATCTTCGTGCACGGCCAATCCAAATAGTTACACGAAGCTGCTTCTCTGCCTCCACGGAGCAGTCGTGTTGGTTTAATGGGGAGTTCATTTATCCCTTGGATGAGCAAGAGGGCTGGAGTCCCACTGAAGGAGAAGAGCGGAAGCAATATTCCTCTCCAAGATGAAGAACAAAATTACATCCAGCGCAGAGACAAAGATGAGAAACAGAATAGCCATCTCTGCTGTAATGTAATAACTCCCCTGGTCTGAAAAGCCAGGCGTCAGCAGAAGGAAAGGTTTCAAGACCAGGTTAAAATCTCATTTCAGGAAGCATTTCTGTTGGCTCTCAAACTTTGAACACACGAACACATAAAGCTGCCTTGTGGTGAATCAGATTGTTGGTCCATCAATGTAAGTATTGTCTATTCAGACCAGCCGTGGCTCTCCAGGGTCTCAGGCTGAAGGCTTTCACATCAGGCACTGTCTGGTCCTTTGTAATTGGAGATATCAGGAATTGAACCTGGGGCCCTCTGCATGCCAAGCAGATGCTTCACTACTGAGCCACGGTCCTCCCTCTTTTCTTCATTTATACTCTGTCTTTCTCCTAGACGGGGACCCAAAACAGCTTACCTCTTGTCCGTTTTCTCCTCACAACAACCCTATGAGGTAGGTTAGGCAGAGAATGTGTGAGTGGTCCAAGGTCACCCAAGCCCGATCTCGTCAGATCTCAGAAGCTAAGCAGGGCCGACTCTGGCAAGTATTTGGATGGGAGACCTCCTTCAAACACCAGAGATGGAAGGGGAGGCAGGCTTTATTCAGCCACCTCTCTGAATGTCCTCCAGGCCCCCTGTAGGGGTCAGTCACCAGAGGTCGCCATGACTTCCAGGTGCACACACACTCACATGCACACACATGCACATACAAAAAAAAAATTGGGTGCTGCACAGTAGTATGTGATTGTAACAGGCGTGTGTAGCAAACGCTTGTACAACACACCTGTGCAATTTTGCTTAGTTGTATGACAGTAGTCATGTATGGCTGCGAGAGTTGGACTATAAGGAAGGCCGAGCGCCGAAGAATAGATTCTTTTGAACTATGGTGCTGGAGAAGACCCTTGAGAGTCCCTTGGACTGCAAGAAGATCAAATCAGTCAATCCTAAAAGAAATCAACCCTGACTGTTCCCTGGAAGGCCAGATAATGAAACTGAAGCTCAAAGACTTTGGCCACCCAATGAGAAGGCAGCACTCACTGGAGAAGACCCTGATGCTGGGAAAGATGGAAGGTCAAAGAAGACGGGGACGGCAAAGGATGAGATTGTTAGACAGTGTCATAGATGCAACGAACATGAAATTGAACAAACTTCAGAGGACGGTGGAAAACAGGAGGGCCTGGCGTGATCTTGTCCATGGGGTCGCAAAGAGTCGGACTCGACTGTGCGACTGAACAACAACAACAAATGACATTTGGATACCTACAGAGAGTGGGACGGGGAGACTCAGAACTGGGAATGTGACAGCGTTAATGCACAAGAGGGTTATATACACGCTAACAAAATGCAGCTTTTTGCATATGAGTGTTTGAGTTACACAAACGTGCTGCCTCACTGAGAAACTTCAGAGCGCCCTGGAAAATAACGCTGAAAAGCACTGATTTAGAAGCTAAGGAAGGCTGCCCAGTCCACAGGGAAATAAGACTTGTAGCTTTCTGAACAAAAATAGACTTCCATGTTTTTTTAAAGAGGGGAGGGGGTTGTGCATCGTCTGCACATTTTCCTCCCAATATCCCCCCACCCCAAAAAAGGCCTTAAATATCACAGCTGAGTAACATCATCTTCATCTTTGTTATTACACTGGCTAGATCAAGGAAGTCATGTGAGGATGAGCCACGGAGCGCTTCCTCAAATGGAAACCAATTTGGATTCTGTTTCCGTAAATAAAGTTGTGAAAAACTATAAGCGGGAAAAGTGTCTCTGCCACCAACTTGGCTTGGCGTCTGGAGCCTCTCCTGTCACCTGCGGCTGATCGGGAATCAGTTTGGCGATCCACAAAACGGAGCCCTCGGTTCACCCGGGGGGGGGGGAGTTGAAGGCCAGGAGGAATGGAGGTGGGTAGACCTGAGGGAATTTCGAAGGGGAAAAAGTGAGGTAAGAGTTGGTGGGGGGAGTCTTGAAGCAGAGATTGTAGGATGGCAGCAGAACTGAGAGGAACCTCAGTGGAGGATAATGCCATAGAGTCCACCAATATTCCCTCTAAGCTGAGTTAGTGTGAGCTAGCTCACATTTTTTCAGCTTCCGGCTCACAATTTTTTGTCTTCGCTCAGCCAGGATGGCTCCAGAGCAGACTAACTTATGCAGCAGCCAAATCGTTTGCTCACAACTTTAATGCCAGTGGCTCACAGAGTAGAATTTTTGCTCACAAGACTCCACAGCTTAGAGGGAACATTGGAGTCCACCCTCCAAAGCAGCTGTTTTCTTCAGAAGAACTGAGCTCTGTAGTCTTGTGATCAGTTATAATTAGGCCCGTAGCTAACCAGGGGCCCATGGGGCCCGGCCCCCTCGTGATTTTAATGGGCCCCCTTCCCAATCCTCGGCTCCCCCCTCCGCTTCTTCCGGGCCGCGCTTCGTTGCGTTGCTTGGTGACCTGCGGCCACGCTGGGGGGAAATGTCGGCCGAAGCCTCCGCGGCGCCCGGGAAGGATGAAGCGCCGCTCGCGCTTTCGGGACCTGAGCCGGAGCTCTTCGTGCGGTGCTACCTGGCCCGCTTTGGCGCTTTGCGGGCAGGCCCCGACCTCAGCCGGGCCCCGGAGGGTGAGAGCGGCCGCCGCCGCTACAAAGAGCTCCACCTGGTGTTCGACCAGCTTATCTCGGAGACTTGCGGTCCCGCAGCGGGGAGGGAGGCGCCTGAGGTGAGCGGGGGAGAGCGGGGAAACCTCCCCTCCTCCTCCTCGGTCTTGAAGGCGCCTTCAGGTCTGGGGAAGGGTCGTTCTCATGGGTCTTAATCCCTGGAGATCTCCAGGCCCCACCTGGAGGTTGGTAACTCCATGCTGTGTTGCCACTTGAGATGACACAGGAGGGGACGACTGCCCCATAAGGGCTCAGCTGGCTCCCAGACACTTGGGACACAGGAAGTGACTGACAACTGGTGTCCCCTCCTGGCCCAGCACTGCTGCTGTCGAGGTACTTTGGACCCGATGGCCAGGAACGGCTATACCTTATTTGGGGTCACAAACTATACTGAAATGTCCTGTACTGAGGTTCCTTGGGAGTGGCCTCTTCACATATTACAGAGTATGCATTACAGATCTGGGGTCCCCACCCTGTGTTTGATGTAACACAATCACAGGTTGAGTTGTTGGTTCTCCTCCATTATGGGGTGAGTGGTGCCCCATTGGGATTGGGACCATGGTGCACACAGAGAAGGGGCTTACCTCCCCCTGCACATTTCACTAACCTGAAACAGCCCCCGAGGTCCTTGAGATATACGTGGGTTTCTCCCACAGTACCTATACGGAGCTCTTCCGCCAGGCTTTTGAATAGGAGCCGCCGCTGCCACCACCACCAACGGGTGACTGCAAAGCAATACTGCTGGGTTAGGCGGACTGGCCTTTTGAACATCGGGGCCATCGCATCCCCCTCTTTGACTCAATGCGATGTACAATAGGGAGCGAGTATGTGAGTCGCGATAAGATCCTTGGGAGTTGCCCACTGTAATTAATTGTTTTAAATTGTTTTAACCGTATTTTATTGCACTGTGTGCCCTAATTGTGTGACTGTGGTGTTGTCTTACACCTATGTCCTGTAAGCCGCCCTGAGCCCGTGCACGGGGAGAGCGGGATATAAATGCAATTAAATAAATAAATAAATACCACCACCACCACCCGACTGTTTCAGGAAACACATTGGCGGGTAACATGGGACTTCTTGGAATTGTGTCTGGGCTCACTGTCACAATACCTCAGCTTCCCCTGGTTCGTGACCTTTTGCAGTTCAGATAGCAGCTGGGACAATTTCATTAAACGTTTTGGAAAATCCCTGTAGTTTTTCTTACTGTTAGCAATGCTAGACAAATGAAACCATCATGTTCAGAGCTGTGCTAGTGACAAATAATGACAGAGGACAGTCTCTTAGAGACATTTTATTTTGACGTAAATAATTCTGGCTAGCCCCCGTCGGCAAATAAGGAGATGGGGGCCTGGGTTGGATCCAGCAGGCCTCCTCCTATGTTTTTCTGAGGAAACAACACGTTGTTCTCTGGAGCGGGGAGTGATCATTTGGGGCAAGCTCTTTGGTACCATTTCTCAGTTCCGTTCACACCAAATAGAGGAAAGCTGCGTGCTTAACACTGGGCTATGTGTTACCCTCTACCGTTGTACATGTTGGCTAAAAATATTCTCAGCTTTTTAGCTGATTAATATTTTCCAGGAAAGACAATTATATCGGCCCACACCCCTGGTCTTTCGTGAGACCTACCCGTGATTTCCTCCAGCTGTGTTGGCTTTTGAAACGGCAGGATCGTGTTTTGAAATATTTGGTGTGGGGTTCTGACTAGCTGCAGGGGGAGAAAAGCGATAGCTCCGGCTAGCCCAGTCTCATTAGAGCTTGGAGACTAAACAGCACTAGACTCAGTTAGGATCTGGATGAGAGACCGCCAAGGAAGACTGAGGAAGGCAATGGCACACTGCCCCCGCTCCTCTCTTGCCTCAAAACCCACCTGAGGTCACCACGAGGTAGCCGCAACTCGACTCTACAGTGGGCCAGGGGTCATTTTGTAGAAAAAGAGGTGCAGGAGCTCATTAGCATAACGCATTAGCATTACTTATTTGCATATGCCACGCCCCCTGACATCACCAGAAGTGTGTCAGAAGGCAACACCCACCGCTCAGGCTCCACTGGACTGTTTTGGATTCCTAGGGGGGGAACGTGCAGATCTGTCCTCACAGAGGAGGGAGAGCTTGTACCTGAATAAAACTGGGTCTTAAAGGTGCCACTGGACTGTCTTGGACCGGGGGGGGGGGGGCTCAGCTTACATGGCTGCTTCTTGCTCTGACTGAGGGCTGCTGGGAGCAGGGGATGGGGCTTGTTGCATGTGCCCGCCCCCTGGGCTCTTTACTGCCGGAGCTCCGCTTCTGTGCGCTCCTGCAGGAAATGACCCCTGCAGTGGGCTATGGATAACTGTGGAATGTACCACCTTTTCTCCCTCTCTCACAATAATAGAACTCGAGGGCATCCAATCAAGCCGATGGGCAGTGGATTTAAGACAGACTAAAATACTTCTTTACACAATGAGTGATTAAATTATGGAATGCACCTTCAGAGGAGGTAGTGATGATGACTATGAGAATGGATGACTTTAAAAGGGGGTTAGACAGATTCAGAGAGGAGAGGTCCATCAACAGCTGCCAGCCATGTTGAGTAAAGAGAACCTCCACATTCAGAGGCAGTAAATCTGTGAATGCCAGTGCCAGGAGGCAACGCTGGGAGAATGCCTCTAAGCCCTCTTTGTTGGTCCTCTAGGGTTAATTGGTTGGCCGCTGTGTGGGACAGGATGCTGGGCCAGATGGACCACTGGTCTGATCCAGCAGGGCGCTTGTCATGAGTCTCCCCACCCAGGAGGGGCCGGGTTGCCTCTTCGGAAGTTTTAGTAGTGGGGAAAATCTCCGTTTCAAAGCCGAAGAGCCAGCGCTGTCTGAAGACATTTCGGGTGGTCATGTGGCCGGCATGACTAAACACCAATGCGCACGGAACGCCATTACCTTCCCACCGAAGTGGTACCTATTTATCTACTTGCAATTTCTTGCTTTCAAACTGCTA